CAGCCACAAGCGGGGTCGAACGGCCCTCGCTGCACCGTGCAACGGAGGCGGCGCTGACGCACCATCTTCCTACAGCCCTGGTGGGTGTGACACTGTGTTTTTTGAATGTCCATGATCAATGATTGTGTGTCTCTATTGAAAAACTAAACCTCATTCTCCTCCTGTAACACGACTCAGTCTGTAGGGGGCGCTAATGCTGCAATATCATGTTTTACACTTTCAGTTTACCCAAACCCGAGAGTTGAACAATCAATTCAAATGCTGTGCAAATGGGACTTTGTATGTGCAAACGGAGGGCATTTACTTTCCACAATAGAGCCCCTACAAATCAAAATGTTTAGTGTAATACCAAAGACATCTTCATGTGTTAAGTCCCTTAGGCTTCGCTGTGGGTGAAAGGAGAGGCTCGAGCTCACATGGTGCCCACGTATAACCTGGTGTTCACTACGCCACACCCCGGGGGAGCCAAAAGGCTCGCCCTGGGCGAGCTCCGTTGGCGGCTCTTGGGCAGACCCGACTCACCACATATATCTGCTGGAGTTGGAGGCAGTGCGCAGGGTGCTGCTGCACTTTGCCCCACAGCTGGCATGTGATGGTGCACTCGGACAACACCACAGTGGTGGCGTATCTGAACAGACAGGGAGGCACGAGGTCCACCGCCCTCCATCGTCTGGCAGCAGTCAGTCTGCTCTGGGCTGCAATGCTTCTGCAGCCTTTGAGAGCATGCCATGTTCCGGGAGACCGGAACACAGGGGCGGACATGATGACTAGAGGGGACCCACCCGGGTCCCCTCTAGTCCAGTCACTGCTTGGTCCACCTGGGTTGCTTCCCTGGGTTGAATATGCTCAAAATTCTTTAAAGTTCTGCCACTGGTCTCTTTCATGGTTTCAATGGGCTTCCATCCTGCTCTAGTTCAGTCACGGGAACAGGAGGTGACTCAGTTCATATCCAGCAAAAAGAAGTTCTTGAATGTTGGGAGCCTGGAAAGGATAGTTTTTGGTTGGTCTTCATACCAGATCTGGACATAGTGGTTTAAAGTATAGTCAAATCATCTTTCAATGCTTACTATTGAACTTATTTGACCAGCAGGAGAATTGGGAAAACATCCTTACAACGCTCAAATATTGTAATAAAATGCAAATTATAAAATCTAGAACACATTCTCGATTCCATACTTTCAGTGAGATTGTCCTGGCAAAACAAAGGAATTGATCATACCTTTTGGGTTCCTGCCCATTTGATAAGACGGACTTAGAATCACCCAGATTTGTGCAAAAGACAGAAGTGTGCAAACATGTTTGAGGAAAAAAAAAGTTTGTTTAAAGTTCATTAATGCAAAATCCATCCCATAATCATAAGTGACCACTCTCCAGTAACCCTAACATGGAACATTCCTGCCCCCCAGAAACACCCCACTAGATGGCGTTTCAACACCTCCCTGTTTTCAGATCCAGAGTTTGACAGTTACTTTAAAAGAGAGTGGGCATCCTTCCTATAGGGACAAACAACTCTCCAATGACCTCAGCCTCACTGCTCTGGGAAACATGGAGGGCGGTATCATATCGTTCTCAGTCTATAAAAATAAAAGGAAAAGGAGAACGAAGCCTCATTTAGAAGAAAAAATAAGAGTTAGAAAGTAAAAATGCTAACAATCCATCAGAAACCACAAATAAGGAATAAAGGAAATATAAATCACAGCTTAATGAAATAATAAACAAACAAAAATCAATTCCTCATAAACAGGCTTGGACATGAAACCTTTCACCACAGCAACACATCCGCAAAATATTTAGCAAATCAAATAGAAAGGAATAAAGAAAATCTGCAATAACTACTATTCAAAACTCAGCGGAGAATCTAACTAGCTCACCACAAGAAATCAATCAGACATTTCAGGAATACAACAAAAAATTATACTCGTCAAATTCGGAGCCAAAACAAGAAGATCTTGATACTTTTTTCAATAATCTCTATTTACCAAAACTCAACCAAGAACAAATGCACTCCCTAGAAACACCAATCACTGACAAAGAACTCTACTCTTCACTAAAACAAATGCCATTGCAAAAACAAAAAACCCATGGCGGTTTAGAGGCGCCACATTTCCTGAATTATTCACTTGCAAATCAAATACAATATATTTACAAATGGACCCACCCCACGCAATCAGACACGATATGGCTCGACATTGAACAATCATTCTGTAAAGACTTAAATTTAGCCGACATCCCATTTCTCACCAAATCTATCAAACAGCACAAAAGCAATGACAATAGCCTCGACTCTGACAGCCTGCTGGAAATACCATCACAAACTCAACACTTGGCCCTTCTAACCTCACTCCGCTCTGGAACAACCCCGACTTCACCTGCAATAAAAAGAAACTCTACTTCCGCACATGGGCCGAAAAGGGTATCACTCACATTAACCATATTTTCAAGTCACACACATTCAAAGAGTTTCCACTTCTGGCCCGGGAGTTTGGCTTAGGGAGCATTCATTTTTTGAAATACCTTCAGCTTAAATCAGTCTTAACAAAATCAAACATTGGATCATCACACCTGCAACCTCCAGCTGCCAGATCAGGATTGGTCAACATCTCATCTGCAAGAAAATCAATCTCTAAAATATACAAAATAATCTCAAATTCAAACAAAATGATTTGCTTAACATCAGCAAAATGGGAAAACGACCTGTCAATTGTTCCTGATGCCAACTCCTGGTCCCAGATTTGTAAAAATATCTCCCCCCCCCCCCCTCTGCCTGCTAGGGGATCTATCAATGATCACTGATACAGCCATAAACTTTAAAATACTCTTATTAGCTCTAACCGTCGCCAAGAAAACCCTCTTTGTGAACTGGAAATCCTGCAATAACATACATACATATAAACCATTGGGAAAAACCTCTTCACAGACTTTATCTCATTAGAATACTCATAATTTTGTCTTGCTGTTTTTACATGGTTGTCTTGGCCTTTAAAAATGTGTAAGTCTAATTTATAATATGTCTGTTTTTATATGTGTGTGAAGCGCTTTGTGACCCTGGTCTGGGAAGGGCGCTATATAAATGAAGTTTACTTACTTCCTTACTTACTATAATAATTATTATTACTATTTCTATTAATATTGATGGTAGTAATGGTATTAATATTATTATTACTATTGATCATATTTATTACATTTTTCTTTGTAAACTTTTAAGCAATGCAAGGAAAAAAAATAAAGATAAATTTAAAAAATAAATTAAAGTTCATTAATGCATTTGTCGCCAAATGTGAAGTAAAAAGATCAAAATCTGAATTTGTGGCAAGAATACTGTTATATTTGTGATACTGGGTGGCATTTATCTTTCAGCAGAATGTTGGGTTCCTGGGGCAGGAGTCCAAAGGAGGAGCCTTTACGTGGTCACAGGTTGCACAGGATCGCAAACCTCCTCCTGGACTCCTGGACAGACAAAATACTGAACATGTATGACTGCTATTGTATAGGGCGTGAGTAGGATTATAAACAAAAATATACGTTTTATTGCAAATACTTTTTAAATTTTTAAAACCATACGCAAATAATTGAATGGCTGTGGAACAGTTGGTGGAGGTAAATGCACCTTAAGTTGGATACCAACTAAACAATACAATACAATTTATTCTTGTTTATTACACGGCTGCTCACAGCAGCAGGAGAACATGACAGATTAGGGCCCTTTAATGATGACAGATTAGGGCCCTTTAATGATGACGGATTAGGGCCCTTTAATGATGACAGATTAGGGCCCTTTAATGATGACAGATTAGGGCCCTTTAATGATGACGGATTAGGGCCCTTTAATGATGACAGATTAGGGCCCTTTAATGATGACGGATTAGGGCCCTTTAATGATGACAGATTAGGGCCCTTTAATGATGACGGATTAAGGCCCTTTAATGATGACAGCTTAGGGCCCTTTAATGATGACAGATTAGGGCCCTTTAATGACAACAAATTAGGGCCCTTTGATGATGACAGATTAGGGCCCTTTAATGATGACAGATTTGGGCCCTTTGATGATGACAGATTTGGGCCCTTTAATGATTACACATTAGGGCCCTTTAATGATGACAGATTAGGGCCCTTTAATTATGACAGATTAGGGCCCTTTAATGATGACGGATAAGGGCCCCTTAATGATGACAGATTAGGGCCCTTTAATGATGACAGATTAGGGCCCTTTAATTATGACAGATTAGGGCCCTTTAATGATGACGGATAAGGGCCCCTTAATGATGACAGATTAGGGCCCTTTAATGATGACAGATTAGGGCCCTTTAATGATGACAGATTAGGGCCCTTTAATGACAACAGATTAGGGCCCTTTGATGATGACAGATTAGGGCCCTTTAATGATGACGGATTAGGGCCCTTTAATGATGACAGATTAGGGCCCTTTAATGATGACAGATTAGGGCCCTTTAATTATGACAGATTAGGGCCCTTTAATGATGACAGATTAGGGCCCTTTAATGACAACAGATTAGGTCCCTTTGATGATGACAGATTAGGGCCCTTTAATGATGACAGATTTGGGCCCTTTAATGATGACAGATTTGGGCCCTTTGATGATGACAGATTTGGGCCCTTTAATGAGTAAAGCGAGGCAAGTTAATTGGTGTAGCACAATTCATACACAAGGCAAGTGAAAGCTGAACAAAACCAGATGGAATCAATCACACAAGGATTAACATCAGAACTGTTTTACCCTGGATTTGAACATTGTCAGAGAAGAAGTCCGTCTCACTGTTTCAGGAAGACGTTTAGTCTCGAAACTTAACAGTAAAGACAACAACAATACCTTTCCCTTTACTCATGTAGGTGTGTGTGTATGTATATATGTTTGTGTATGTGTGTGCGTGTATGTGTGTTTGTGTGTGTGTGCGTGTGTGTGTGTGTATGTTTAATGTTATACTAAATGAAAGTTGAAATATCCCATTTATGTTTTTCCACCACTTTTTGACTCAAAAACACTAGAGTGGCGTCCAGAGACTGAGCCTGTCTTTAAACTGCTGCACGATCACGCTGCTTTCTTGGTTCGGAGCCTTTTCCAGCAGCTTACTGGCCTTGCTCACGGCGTCTTGGGCCATATTGATGACCTCGGCCCGAAGGTGGACGTCTTCGTAGTAGAAGTCAGAGAGGTGCAGGACCAGGGTGAGGCGGAGGGGGTGTGAGGCCTCCAGGTACTGAGCCTGGTCAAACCCATAGATGTAGAATTCCAAGGCACGATTACCGGATGCTTCCTTAAGCTCTGATGCCACCTCTCTCATGTATCTGCAGAAGTCTCCTCCCATTGTCGAATAGAAGACCTGTTTCAAAACAAAACATGAATCTAGGACCTACTTACTGTGGCGCACAAGTGATAACCACTGCGTCATCGTATGTCAATAATTCAATAATGTTAAATTAATATCGACCAAACTATTTACCCACTGTGCTTTATAATGTGTTCAGTCTCACTTTAGTTACACCCTCACTAAATAACATTAAATCCTAATTTATGTATAATTTATTGTTAATTAGCTCCATAGTTGATCCCCCACATCTACTTCATCATAAATGGAAAAGTAGAGTTCTTTCACTGTTAGTGGACAAAACCACTGGTTGGATTCCAGCTTCAGGCCTGTGTGGAGTTTGCATGTTCTCCCACAGTGTGTTCGGTGTCTCTCTTCCGTCATCATTGTGTGAAGAGAATGGTACATTATCTGAACTCACATTGAACATTGTAAAGCGCACTGGGCGACCTTGGTCGGTAAAATGTGCAATATAAATAAACATTACTTCAATACATACTGTTAGACTTACATAAACAAGCCACCTTGGGCATCACACTCTCCCGATTCACCCACAAAATCTACCTCCAACCGCTTCTCCTCAAACCCACCCACCTCTCCATCCTCCCCCGCTTTCCCCTTCCCCTCTTGTCTCTGACACTAGGATTATTCGAATCAAGAAAATCAGTTTTTGTGTTTGCGTAATCGACCTTATCTGGAACCTGTTTTTTTTTTACATGTTATTATAATCTTGATTGTATGTTTATAGCTGGAACATGGCTTTACAAAAATACAGGAAATGCAGTTTAAATGGAAGCAACAAGACCAAATTTCTAATTTGAATCTGAAAAACAAGAAAACAAAAAACTCTGCAGTACTTGTGCTTGGAGTACAATGTACACTTGCACATCATTTGGATAAATAAGTGAACTGAGCTTTGTCAATATTAAAAACTTACTATTGCTTCTGGATCTCTCTCAGATCGCAGGAGGGAGTAGATCGAATCCAGCAGCTTCTCACAGAGTTCTGTGATCTCATTTCCGATCTTTTTAAGATGGTTGAGGGCCAAATTCTTCTCCTTCTCGTCCTCAGATTTGCCTTCGATGTCAGCGATGGCACGCCAGGCCTGCAGCCGTGGAATGACAGCGTTGTTGAGGACCAAACGCAGCTTGTAGCTCTCCTCCCGGCTCAGAATGGTGCTCCATGTCACCTGCGCAAGCATTGCTTTAGCCTCATAGTTGTACTGGTGAGCCTTCTCTGCCAACTCCACTTGTTGGTCCAGGCTGGATGACTGCACTGTCCCTGTCAAATACATGAACAAACAAACACAAATGACACAGAGTCTTTCCATTGTGGACTCGGAGCGTCTGCGATCTGTCCAAACTCTCTCTGGTCTGGGATCTGTCCAGTCGGTCTCTTCAGGCTCTTGCTCAGACACACACACATTTATAGTGACAGCACCACCCACATCTGACCCATACTCCTCAATGGGCCTCGAGCCAAAATTTTTTACTTTTGTCATTGTTATTTGTCTTGTGTGAGTACATTCTGTACCTGGTTCCCGCACACTATGACTATTTCCTTGTTTGTCTCAGCATCTGCGTCAGGTCAAGGGCTGATTGAGATGAAATGCACGAGAAAAATGTACACACCCAGCAGCCTTTGTCTTTTTAGATAAGAAAACTATGCATACTTGAATCAACTGTACCCACATTACTGGAAGTGGATGGTGTGTATTATGCTAAATCTGGTGATGTGCATGCAGCTTGGGAGCTAACGGGTTAGCATTGTCAATCCATTCACAGCCTATGACCTCCATAAGCACGAGGCCAGTGAGCAGTGAATATGTTTAGTGATATTCTTTTCATTTTCCTCACTCATTAACAGGACCAGAGAGACGTGAACTCTTCCACTTGAGGAGGACCTCTCCACCCACCTGGACAGCACACAAGGTACCTTTTTCTGATCCAGCTCAACGACCTCAGATTTGGAGGTGCTGATCCTCGTCCGTGCCGCTTCACACTCGGCTGGAGGCTGCCAAACAATTGGTATCCGCCCCAACATCCTCAGCCTCTGCCTCCGGAACGGAGAACATGACGGCGAGATTCTGGAGAACCTCGAAGTATTCCTTCCACCGCCTGACAATATCCCCAGTCGAGGTCAGCAGCTCTCCACCCACACTGTACGGTGTTGGCAAAGCACTGCTTCCCCCTCCTGAGGCGCCGGACGGTTTGCCAGAATTTCTTCGAGGCCGACCGATAGTCATGCTCCATGGACTCTCCGAACTCCTCCCAGTCCCGGGTTTTTGCCTCTGCAACAGCCCGGGCTGCTGGTACTGGACAGCTGCCTCAGAAGTCCCATAAACCATCATGGCTTGATAGGACTCCTTCTACAGTCTGACGGCATCCCTTACTACCGGTGTCCAACACCGGGTTCGGGGGTTGCCGCCGGGACCAGCACCAGAGACCGGGACCTAGCGACCACAGCTACGAGCCGCCGCATCGGCGATAGAGGAAGAGAACATGGTCCACTCTGACTCAATATCCCCCTCCTCCGCCGGGACCTGGGGGAAGCTCTCCTCCTCTGGGACCTGGGAGAAGCTCTCCCGGAGGTGTGAGCAGACCCTCAGTACACGCTTGGTTTCCCAGGCAGCGAATCCAACTCACGAACAGTAACGAGAAACTGTAGGGCGTTGGGCGTCTCTGTGGAAGCACCTGTGGGAGCACCTGTGGGAGCACCTGTGGGAGCACCTGTGGAAATACCTGTGGAAGCACCTGTGGGAGTACCTCTGGAAGCCCCTGTGGGAGTTCCTCTGGAAGCCCCTGTGGGAGCACCTGTGGAAGCACCTGTGGAAGCACCTGTGGGAGCACCTGTGGAAGCACCTGTGGAAGCACCTGTGGGAGCACCTGTGGGAGCACCACCCGCACCTGAGGCCAACTGGTCGTAAATCAAGTGCTCCGTGACAAGGCAAGGCAAGTTTATTTATATAGCACAATTCATACACAAGGCAATTCAAAGTGCTGAACAAAATAAGAAAGCATTAAAATCATAAATTATCACAGAACATTAAAAAGAAAGATAAAAATATAAAATCCCTCAGTTGTATGCACAGTTAAACAGAGCTGTCTTTAACCTGGTTTTAAACATTGTCAGAGAGGAGGCCTGTCTCACATCTTCAGGAAGACTGTTCCAGATTTTAGCAGCATGAATCTGAAAAGCAGCCTCCCCATGTTTAGTTCTGACTCTGGGCACTAACAGGAGTCCAGTCCCTGTGCTCCTCAGAGTCCCAGCAGGAGTCCAGTCCCTGTGCTCCTCAGAGTCCGGGCTGGTTCATATGGGACTAACATGTCACTAATATATTTTGGTGCGAGGCTATGGAGAGACTTGTAACAAGCAGAGCTGTTTTAAAGTCTATTCTCTGAGCCACAGGAAGCCAGTGCAGAGACCTGAGAACTGGACTAATGTGGTCGTACTTCCTGGTTCTAGTCAGGACTCGAGCTGCTGCATTTTGAATGTACTGCAGCTGTTTTACAGCCTGTTTGGACAGACCTGTGAGCAGGCCATTGCAGTAGTCTAACCTACTGGAGACAAATGCATGGATAAGAATCTCCAAGTCTGCTTTAGACACTATGTTTTTGATCCTGGCAATGTTTTTTAGATGGTAAAAAGCTGCTGATGTTACTGATTTGATGTGGCTATTAAAATTTAAGTCTGAGTCCAGTATTACCCCTAGATTTCTGACCTTGTTTGAAGGTTTTAGGGAGAGAGACTGGAGGTGACAGATGACTCTCTCTCTTTGTTTCTGGGGACCAAAGACAATCATTTCAGTTTTGTCTGCGTTTAGCTGAAGGAAGTTGTTTTGCATCCACTCACTGATCTGTTGGATACAGTGAAGGAGTGAGTCCACTGGTCCATGTTCTCCTGCAGTCAGAGAGACATAGATCTGAGTGTCGTCTGCATAGTTGTGATAGGAAACTTTGTTTCTGCGTATTAACTGACCTAACGGCAGCATGTAGAGATTGAACAGAAGAGGTCCCAGGATCGACCCCTGTGGGACTCCACAGGTCAGGGCCATATGATCTGAGATTGTTTCCAATCTCCACAAAGTACTTCCTGTCTTCAAGGTAAGACCCAAACCAACTTAGGGCGGTGCCAGCGACGCCAACCCAGACCTCTAGGGTCTGTAAGAGGATCTCATGGTCGACGGTGTCAAAGGCAGCACTCAGATCTAACAAGATTAAGATTGAGACTTTGCCTGCGTCAGTGTTCAGCCGGATATCGTTTGTAACCTTAACGAGAGCAGTCTCAGTGCTGTGGTGGGGTCTAAAGCCGGACTGAAACATATCAAATGAGTTGTTGATTATAAGAAATCTAGTAAGCTGTAGGTAGACAACTTTCTCAAGGACTTTCCCCATAAATGGCAGATTTGAGATGGGACGATAGTTGTTAAGTACCGTAGCATCGAGACTGCTCTTTTTTAGCAGGGGCCTGATGACTGCAGTTTTCAGGGCCTTTGGGAATATTCCAGAATGAAGGGACATGTTTACTATCTGTGTGAGTGAAGGTAACAGACTGCTCAGAACAGACTTCAGAAATCTAGTGGGTAGTACATCCAGGCTGCATGTGGAGGAGCTCAAACTGGAGATTATCTCTTGGACAGTTTGATCATCTACAGGTGCAAAGTGAGTTAGCTCAGAGAGCCTTTCTGGCTGTTGGATGGTTATCTGTGGATTGGAGACAATAGCGTTTTTGATACCTTGAACCTTGTCATTGAAAAAATGAGCAAACTCATTGCATTTACGTTTGGAAGTAAGCTCTAATGGCATTTGAACAGGGGGGTTTGTTAATCTATTAACTGTTGAAAACAGAACACGCAGATTGTTGCTGCAGCCTTCAATCATTTCAGAAAAATACCTTTCTCTCGTACTACGTAGCACCCGTTTAAACTCGCACAACTTATCTTTTAAGAAGTGACAACAGTAATGTGATTGTTTTTGAATATTGTTTTTCTGTTTTTCTCTGGAACATTCTTGTGAGGAACATTCTGTGCTGCTTGGCTCCGGTCCATCAGGTCCTGGACGACGCTCTGAAATATAAATGTTACTTTTTAGAGAGAGATACTTTATTGATCCAGCAGCAGAAACACAATAATAATATTAAAATACAGCTCTGCTATTATTATTTGTTTATTTGGTAGGGACAGAACAAGAAGCATTGCTACAGGAACCGATGCTGTGTTCATAGGCCGTATAGCTAACAGCTAGTTTGCAGACCTGGTCCCTAAAACCTAGGAATACATCACATTTACATTATACATACATCATTATATTAAAAAAAAATAAGTTATACTAAATAATAAACAAGAATACAATACAAAACACAATACAAAAAAACAAAAAAAAAAGAATACAATAAATGATTACAGTCTTGCATTATGCTCACAAGTGTGGGTCCTTTTGAGCCATAGTTTGACTTTAATTTTAAACTCCTTCAAGTCTGTTAGGGCTTTCAGTTCTGCAAGTAACGTGTTCCAAAGCTGTGGCTCTTTCACTGCGAACGCAGTCTGTCCAAATGATGTTTTACATCTTGTTGCTCTGCCGTCTCTATTGGCAGCGCCCCTAGTGGTCATCCTGTGAGCTACACATTTCTCAAACATTCCTGCAGCGATATTGGGAGCGAGGTTGTTTACACATTTAAAGACTAGTTTAATAAAAAGTATGTTATAAAATTATCAAAACTTAAAAGATTATATTTTTCCTGAACTTTGCAATGGTGCCACAAAGTGGGCTTTTTATCGAGCACTTTCAGAGCTTGCTGTACAGAGAGTTCTAACCTTTCATGGTGGACTGGTTAGCTTGGCCCCACACAGTGATGCAATATGAAAAATGGGACAAGATCATTGAATGGAAGAACAGCTTGGCTGCACTGATTGAGAGTTTTGATCTTATTAGACGGAAACAGTTCAAGTTGATCTTGACAGTCTTTGTTATCTTTTTCACATGAGCTCAAATTTAAGATGAGAGTCCATGAGTACTCCAAGATACTTGAACTCCTCTACTCTTTCAATAGTTTTATTATTGATTTGTATTTGAAAGTTGTCTAGGGGCCTTTGCCTCATTGAGAAACACATCGACACCGTTTTAGAGCAGTTTAGTGACAGATGGTTATCCTCCAGCCACTGGGAGACCCTGGTCAGTTGCTTGTTCAGCAACTCTGCCGCTCTTTGAGGACTTTTTGCTGAGACATAGATGACAGTGTCATCAGCATAGAGCCGGCACTCAGTCTCGGTGCAAACTGATGGAAGGTCATTGATGTATAGACAAAATAGGATGGGGGCCAGGATGGAACCTTGTGGTACCCCCATTGTATACTCCAGAGGTGAAGATATTGTGTCGCCGATTTTTACATGTTGCATTCTGGACTCCAAATATGATGTAAACCAGCTGAGAGCTTTCTGTGAGAAGTTTAGCTGTTTTAGTTTGTGGACAAGGACAAGATGGTCGACAGTATCGAAGGCCTTACGAAGGTCTAGGAACACTGCTCCAACCACATTACCCCGGTCCAGCTCTTTTTTAATACTGTCTACGAAGTAACAGGTAGCTATTTCTGTTGAATGTTTTGTCCTAAAGCCAAACTGCTTTGGATGAAAGATATTGTTGCATTCAAGGTAATCAGTCAATTGATTTGAAACTGTTTTTTCTAGTACCTTTGAGAAAATGGGAAGAATTGAAATTGGTCTATAATTCCATGCCTGGTCAGTATCTCCAGCTTTAAAAATTGGGCTGATGAGACCCATTTCTGTGGAAATGTCTCACTAGTGACTGACAGATTTACCATCTGGGTCAAGGGTCCAGATAAAGAATCTTTATGCTTTCTGACAAAGTCGGTGTCTAATCCAAACACATCCTTGGTTTTGGATGGTTTAAGACAGCATATTATTTTCTTAATACTAGCCTCATTTGTTTGTACAATAGAACATTTGTTTTCCATTGAGTTAGTTAGGTTATCATTTGGTTCTATTGATTTAGAAGATGTCTCTTTGAAAGATGCTGCGAATTCTTCCTCTGATTTTACAAAATATGTATTGAGCAAAGAGGCCATTTGCATATGGTCAGTAATTAGTTTGCCATCAACATTTAGCTGTGTTATGGCTCTGGCCTTTTGTCTGGAATAATTTTTTGTCAGTTTGTGTAAATGTTTCCAGAGGCAGGCACTATTTCCTTTAGATTGTTCCATCAATTGCATGTAGTATGCAAGTTCAGCTTTGCGCATCTCACTGACCACCTTATTTCTGAGACTTTTAAAAATTGCATTATCTGTGTTAAGTTTTGTTGAAATTTCTTTTTTGCGAGCAAGGTCTCTCTGTTTCATTAGTTGACATAATTTGCTGGTGATCCAAGGCAATACCTGACGTTTCCTTCTCATTTTAATGGGCTTTGTATACTTTTGGATTGCATGTGATACAGTGTGATACAGTGCTTGTCAACAGATCACAGTAGTTATTTAAGTCTTGCATTTTAAGCACTGGCTCCCAGTTAATATTGCATATATCATTGTCAAGATGGGGCAAATCATTTTTTCTAACTCCTTTTGTCATCTTAGTAATTGGATTTTTAGTAAGGTATTGCAGCCGCTTTTTAGTCAGTTTCCTTGACATTAATGTCATATTATGATCAGACAGCCCAGTGACAAGATTATAGGTTTTTGTAATACGTTCTGGCTTATTTGTGAACATTAGGTCTATTTGGGTTGCGCTTGTTTTTGTTAGTCTTGTTGGGCCCTCTGTAAGTTGATGCAATTTATGTTTTGATGTTATAGCTTTAAGCTTTTGTTTACCATGTTTATCCAGCCAATTAATATTGAAGTCTCCAAGCACAATGATTTCACCATCACATTTTAACTGTTTAAGCATTTCATCCAGATTACAATAAAAGAATGCATTAAAAGACGGTGGGTTATATAGGATAACAACCTTAAAATTCATTCTTGGTGATAAAACAATGTTTAAAACATTCTAGGTTACAAATGTTCACATTAATTTCAGTGCATGTCAGTGTTTTCTTGGCATATTAAAACACCTCCTCCTTTTCCTGTTTGTCTGTCCTTACGGAAGCAAACATATTCTGGGATATCAATCATTTGAGTCGTGATGTTAGAATTTAGCCATGTTTCACTCAGTGCCAGAAAATCCAGGTTTGAGTCAGTCAGCAAGTGTTCAATTTGTTCGCGCTTTGAGAGGAGACTCCTTATGTTTAGGTGACCTCCGAGGATTCCGCTTTTCTTAAAATCTCGATCCCATATCACTTTAGCGTGGTTAACAGTTTGGAAGTACCTGTATTTTTGTTGCGTTGGCTTGCATGGCTTGCGCGGTTGCTTACATGCATTCTGGGGCGGGACTACCGCACCTGCAGCGCCCCGGGCATCGCCTCTGTCCCTCCCGCTGCTAGCCGAGCGAAGCACCAAGCCCCCGCACCGCGGAGCCGCCGCGCATCACCACACGGGGGCAACTTGGCCGCCATAGGTGCAGCGCGCCCGACAGCGCCGGAGGATCCCCCGCCACTTGCGTCCGCCGCGAGCCCCGGACAACCCACAGAATCCTCGTCCAGCGCTGGCCGCAGCGCCCCGGCCATGCCACGAACGCCCGGACTGGGGTCCACACCGGAGCCACACACAGGCACCGCAGGCGCAGGCCCCGAGTCAGCAAGCCCAGCCACAGCAACGTCCCGGGCACCGGAAGAAAAGCACACCGCGGGGGAGGACCCAAACCAGCCCGGTGAGTGGGCAAAGTTAAAGGTGTTGTTCACTCCCTGGATAGCATTCAGAGTGCTTTGAGTCGGATCTGTTGTGTTTAATCCCGTTAGTTGCGGTCCAGGGTTCAGCTCTATGTCACCTGCCAGTAGCAGCACAATAGCCAACTGTAATAGTCTTATTTTTGGCATATTTAGTCGCTTCTGATCGTGCGTATTTGGGGCTACAACAGCATATTCGTTGCGGAGAAGCTTGGAGTAGAGAATATATTGGCTATTAGACACCACACAGTAGTTGTTGTTGTTTTTTCCAGTGTATTGATGTCTCATTAATATGACAAATATTGTTGTTGTGTATAGGATTGCCGACCAGTTGATTTGAATTTGTTTGAAAGACTTCAACTTTGTGCGCACAGCACCTGCTGAGCTGTGTGTCTCGGTAGCCATCTTGTTTATGGATTCAATACTAGAATCCGGTGCACAGTTTCTCCCTTGTCAGTCTATGGTTTGGTCCCACGTCCACCACATCATGTAGTATTTCTCATTGTGAATCTGTAGTCATCAGAACTCAAAACCATATTACTCTATCTGTGTTGGCGTTATTTTACACTGGTCTGGACCAGTGTAAAACCATGAATCCTCTCTGCTCTGCTCTGGACCAGTGTAAAACCATGAACACTGAACTGCAGCAACATCTCAGGCAGAAAAAAGCAAGAACACAAACGATCAATTTTATCAAAAAAAATATCAATTTGCCAACAGCAGATCAGAGAATCAAGATCCAACTTTACTGTCCCCAAAGGATTGAAACGGTTGAATTCTTTTCTGCTTCAGAGAAACTCCTCGGATAAAATACTGTGATAAAAACCGCAGTGAGGACTTTAGATTTCTCCTTCTCTGCGTGTTCTGCTCCAATGAGAGGTCTAGAGCAGGCATGTCAACTGTATCTTTATAGTTTAATATTAGTCTTCAATTACATCTCTTCTTGATATTTGGCAGATAAAATAATATCCAATCTCATGTCAAATAAAATGTGTCTGTTAATGATAATTAAAGCCACAAGCGGGGTCGAACGGCCCTCGCTGCACCGTGCAACGGAGGCGGCGCTGACGCACCATCTTCCTACAGCCCTGGTGGGTGTGACACTGTGTTTTTTGAATGTCCATGATCAATGATTGTGTGTCTCTATTGAAAAACTAAACCTCATTCTCCTCCTGTAACACGACTCAGTCTGTAGGGGGCGCTAATGCTGCAATATCATGTTTTACACTTTCAGTTTACCCAAACCCGAGAGTTGAACAATCAATTCAAATGTTGTGCAAATGGGACTTTGTATGTGCAAACGGAGGGCATTTACTTTCCACAATAGAGCCCCTACAAATCAAAATGTTTAGTGTAATACCAAAGACATCTATATTCTACTTCATGTGCTATGTCCCTTAGGCCTGGACTCCACCGGGCGCGTCTTCGTTGACGCGCGTTGGCTGCTGTCCGTCGGACGTCCGTAAAACGGACTAGTGGTCAAACCGGCTGCAGCAGCAGCTCTGGCTGTGCGTTTATCAGCCTGCTTTGTTTTTTGTAGGAGACGTTTGGGCATTGTGTGAATAAACTAATGTTTGGCTGATGGAAGAGTTATGTACTGTCGGCGTGCATGTGTGCGTGGGCGTGTGCGTGAGAGCGCCTGTGTGTGTGTGTGGTGGGAGGCGTGTGCGAGTGCATGTGTGTTTGGGCCTGTGACCGCAGCGTTTATTATGATCCAGCCTCTTCGTTTGTTTTCTATACTTAATTAGCACGTGATACACTTTTATCGGACCCAACTCGCCTCTCCGCGGCTTTAGGCAACAGGCAACCACTATAGTTTTAAATAGAAGAAGCGGTGTGTGATGTGCATGAGCTGTGGCTATGATCAGTGCAAAGCACAGCATATTGAAGCATTGAGGACGTCGCGATGGATGAAGCAAAACTTATTGAAAGCTTTTGGAAAAAGGGGAGAGAGAAAAGAACTCTAACATATCCAGTGTTGTGAGATCTCTCTCATAAGTGCAGCTCTGTGTGTAATGTGTGTTTGCGGTGAGGAGAGAGCGCCTCGCAGGTAGACGGGACAGAGCGAAAGAAAAAAGAGCGAGGTGTATGTAAAGTTTAGCGTATTAACATTACGTAAGGGATAACGTATATTATACGGCTTTATACCAACAGAACATACAACATAAACTTCAGTCCACTTTTAGGAATGCCGAAAGGTTTATTTAATGACAGAAAATAAAATAGTTCCCAAAGGCTTTCCCGTGGCTATGCTAGAAACGGTTAGGCTAGCAACAGTTAGGCTGGCAACTTCCAAACTAGAACTCTCTGGAACTGCATGAAAACTGAACACAGAATTCTGAACATCAGCGGTGAGTGACCCAAACATAAACTTAACCTAAATACATAATTCCATCCTCTGCAAATGTTCCTAAAATGTGCCGGTATCTACTTCCGGGTTTTTGGGGATCGCCTTTTCTCGCATTACAGCAGTGTTTTTGTCATGAAAACGTAAACGGAAAATTCTGAAAACTTCCGTGCACTTGTATTAAGACTGGATATGTATAAATTACTCTCCGATTAACATTTCATTGCGTTGATTGATTGGCATTTGCGTTTATTGAGCGGCCGGAACTACTTCCGGGTTTTTCACGATCGGTTTTTGACGCAGAGAAATAGTATTTTTATCATGAAGACGAGACCAGAAAATTCGGAAAATTTCCGTGCACAAGTGTGAAGAATGTATATGTATAAGTATTCTCCGATTAACATTTAAGTGTGTTGATTGAGCGTGGCTAGCTCAGGAGTGGCCGGAACTACTTGCGGAGTTATCCACGCATTTGAAAGACAAGCAGAGAGTGCGTTGCCAAAGGGCAGTGGTCATTATTGTTTTGAGAGGTCCGTTATAAAAAATAATGACCGGTAGAACGTTTTGAAATCAATGGAGCGTTTTACTGCTGCTGTGAGGAGCCGTATAATAAGGAAAAAATAAATGGTAGATGTACGATCAGGAAACAATTATTTAAATGAATACATGAAAAAAATTACACACGTTTGTTAATAATCATTGTCATTAACAAATACTTATAACCAAGGACTACAGCATATATCAATACATGTTTAATAATGTGGTAAATATATTATTCCATTGTATTTTCAATGGAAAACGGACCCGACACGCGTCGACGGAACAAATACTGTTTGTTTCTATTTTGTCCGTCCGCGTCCGTTGCACCCTCTGTTGACGGAATCGCGTCGGACGGATGTTGGAGGCAGTGGAGCCACTTCCATTCACTCTCATGGAGATAACGGAGACGGAGATGAAACGGACATGTTTGGATGGATCCGTCGTCCGTTTTACGCGCCCGCTGGAGGTGGGGCCTTAGGCTACGCTGTGGGTGACTCTGAGGCACCTAGCCCCCGCCAGAGAGATCTCAGATCGAATGCTCCAATCACGAGCCAGCTCCCCCTATAAATAGCCCCGCTCAGGCCTGCACCTGCCACTTTGAACTCTGGCGCCGGGGAATTTACTTAAATTTTTTTCAAAAAAGAATTAAGAATCGAGATGTTGCTGCCTTCTCTGCTCGTCCGAGTTCCCTTCGCCCTCCAGCGTCGAACGAGATAGGTAAGCGTAGCTGTACTAAACTTCACTGCAGGGACGAGCACCCCTATGCTTCTTCTGCTTCCCCTGCCTGGGCTGACTGATCTTTCACGCAGGCGCCGCCCAAATAACTGGCCTCTCTCTCTCCCCAAGGGGAGAGTGAGAGTGCCGCAATGCACGCACCAGTGCCTCAAGGCTGCCCAGACTTCAGGGAAGGGAGTGTGGTATGCCCCGCTTGACCTGATTTCCGCGTGTTTGGGGAGAATGGCGTGGAGACAGAGCACGTAGGTCTCTCCCTCTTCACTCTCGAGACCACTTTTCCCGCACAGCCTTTTTCCCGCGCAGCCTTTTTCCCCTCCGTCGGCAGCTGCCAGGCGCTGGGAAATCCTCCTCCCACCGCAGCCCTCTCAGACAGAGCGGGCTCGGAGCAGGTAAAGGAGAGGCTCGAGCTCACATGGTGCCCACATATAACGCCACACGTCCACTTCACTCACGTCCGGTGTTGGGCCACAGACTCTGGGTCTGGAGGCTGAGAGGCAGAACCTCGTAGACCTGGGTCTCCCCCCCATCGGTGGTGGAGACCATTCAGGGAGCGAGGGCCCCTTCCACCATCAGAGCCTATGCCTGAGATGTTCGAGAGGGGTAGGGCTTCCGGCATCCTGGCGGTGTTTGCGGCAGCCATTGCCTTGGGTCACGGGGGGTTTGGGGGTTTTTTAAACCCGCTCCCACCCTCTGGTTCAACGTTTCCTTTGGGGGGCCCGCAGAAGGAGGCCCGTCCTCAGGAGGACGTCTCCGGCCTGAGACCTGAAGGGGGTTCTGAGGGGCATAGCAGGGCCTCCTTCCAAACCGGTGGCTCAGGCCAGCTCGGAATGTATGGCTTTCAAGACCGCCCTCTTGCTGGCTCTGGCTTCTACCAAGAGGGTAGGTGTTTATGCGCGCTCTCAATCCACCCGGCCTGTGTGTCGTTGGAACTAGAGACGGGTTGGTCAAGCTTTGTCCCTATCCCAAGTCGTGACGTCGGCCATAGGTTTAGGGTCATCAGAATCAGACCTGTTTATCCGCCGCCTCATCCTCGGAGGAGGAGGAACAGCGGCATCTTCTGTGCCCAATCAGATTGTTGAGGCGTTACCTGGATGTTACGTCCTCGTTCAGGCTTTCTGATCAGCTGTTTGTGTGCTTGGCCCCTAAAAACAGGGGCGCTCCGTTGACGTCTCAGCGGCTGGCGCACTGGGTTGCCCGGGCGGTTCGCATGGCGTACCAGGCTCAGGGGTTGGCTCCCCCGGGGGGGTTCAGGGCTCACTCCACAGGGTTGCAGCCTCCACGGCTTGCTCCGAGGGGCCTCGTGGAGGACATCTGTCAGGCGGCGTCCTGGGCTTCGTCCTCTTCCTTTGCCCAGCCGTATATCTGGTCGACGTTTCAGAACGGACGGTCGTCCACTCGGTTCTGAATGCTGGGATCTAACGTGGACCGTGAGGTGCTCTTGGTACAGGCAGCCTAAGGTCTGATGTATGTGTGTAATGGCCGCCCCAGTCAGGAGCTCTTGATAGAGGCGTCCTGGGACTACGGTCTG